AGTGATGGTGTGTGGGTGGTGGGTGGTGGTGTGCGTTGTTGCTGTTGTGTGTGTGTGTGTGGGTGCTGTGTGTGTGTGTGCGTCTGAGTGAGTTGCAGCATACAAAAATAATACCTAACGGACAAAAGATATAGATAATATATTTGACTGAATCCCTGTGCCTTGCAACAAAGTCATGCTAAATATGTAAATAAAACCCATACTAGGGGCTACCCCAGGAAACAGGAAGGACAGAGGGTGAGTACAAAAAGCCCCCACCAGTTATATAATATGCATGATATAACACAGTATGCCCTCCTTCCTCTTGCAAGTATAATAGTCTTTGTTTAATTTTATTCTCAAGCATTCACCTTTGAAAGGCTCACTGTAAGATTACATCTCCTGACTTACCAAATTGCTGGATGGCCCTGTCTGCACTCCAAGGCAGCTCCAAGGTCATGTGGACCCTGCGCCTTTGGTTTTTCACTCGCTTGTCCGCCTGCAGGGAAATCCCAGAGCTGGCCGCCTCTGAGATGATGGCCACCAACTGGAAAGAAGAGAAGTTTGGATTATTGGTAGAGATCTTGTGAACAATTTTCATAAAACGGTACATTACTACAGCTGCACATGGTTTTATATGCAGGACAAATGTATTTGATTGGTCTATCTGACCTTCTCTCCACTCATGAAGCGATCTTTCTCCTTGATGTTTATGTGGTCAATGGTAAGACCCTGTTCAGCCCGTGACTCGTAACGGACGCTGCCGTCAAGACGCCGTACCACACGACCCTTACGACCAGTCATCTGCAGAAAAAATATTCATCACATTGTCACTTAATACATGTTTTGAAAGAAATTGGTGACAAATGAAGAGAATGTCAATCCCACCTGCACCATTTAAGCTTATTAGATCATTCTCGTACCTCTGAGACTTTATCTGGTCCTCCAAACTTATCGATGAGCTCGTCCAAGGTGTTGAGAGGTAGTTCTTTTCCCAGTACGGATATCTTGTTGAGGAGCCCCTGCTTCATCTCCTCTATCCTGGCTGTGAATAGGAGGCAGAGGGGACATTAACCATTTAACCCTAACAGGCAAGACTGACAAATATAACTGAGACTGGACACATCAGACGTCACTCCTACTGACGACACAAACCGAAGAAAAGAGGCATCTCCCTACCTGTTTGGCAGCTAGTGTGGTTCACAAAGATGACATCGTCATTGTCTAGCAGGGAGTCTGGTGAGGAGTTGGAGTCCGTGTCCATGCCATCGGAGTCACTACTGCTGTCATCGCTGATGTTGATCACACCGCCGCTGTCCACGGTGTGCTTGGGTACCTTGGGCTGGCGACCTCTAGGCTTCCCTGATTGGAAGAAACAACATCATAATTAGAATGAGAAACAAGAAGTACAGCTCAAAAACACCTCTTGAAGTATCATTCAATGAGAGGCCAAGAAAAAGATACAGACTGCAAGAAAAAAGGTGTTTCACTGTGAATCAATCCTGCCAGATGGTGTGCAAACAGCTATATACACACAAATACAAAATACATTCAAACGCACTGTTAACTGTCAAATTAAGCCACAGGGCAAACGCCTGACATGTCTGCTGAGCACTGAGTACATACATATAAGAGTGAAGAACATAATATGTAACTGTTCTAATGCTATTACATGTGCTGGATGGTGTAACAACTGCATTCTCTTCACTTACGTTTTCTCTTATTTCCTGGGGCCTTCTCCCTCCTCTGTTTCTCTGATGGGAAATGTTTTGTTACCAGAGACTGGAATACTCCCCTAAAGGAAAAGAGAGATAGACTTTTATTCTGACAGCAAAGCGTTCAGGGAAACACAAGGCAGTTGTGGCAATTTGAGGTTTTGTACATTCCTGATTCAGCCACATTATAGCTGTCAAGTGTTGACAGGCAGATGAACATGTTGTCTGTGAGCTAATATTCTCAGACATGCAGGCATGTCTGCTATGAGAGGTTTAGGGTCAAACAAGTTCAAAGCACTCCGAACCTGTACCATCCCTTTCCTGTTTTTCTTGGATGAGACATTTCCTAATTAAATAGTTGCTAATATCTAAAGGGATTGTTTGGTTTAATTGAGGATAGTCTGCATAGCCTGAATCATTTTATTATTCATCCTATCATTTGGCAGTTTAATAAAGCAATCCACAGAGTGCTACGGCTTCCAGCAAACAGAGACAATCCGAACAGGTTTAAATGTAAACGACAGGTAGGGAGTCCTGCAAAACTTTGTTGCTATGAGCTGTTTAGACATTGTTAGCCGGTAAGGACCTTTTGTCATTTTAGTGAGCATAACTTTAAATAAACCTATTTACGTAGAAAGAAAAAACAACAAACAAAATCTTCCTTTTCACTCACTCTGCTGCAGAAACAAATCTGTCAAGATGCCCATCATTCTCATCCAGGACTTCTCTGGTGCGGGACTCCCCAGTAGACTGCAGCCCAATAACGATGCACTGTAGTGGAGTGAAACAAACACACATCAACAACCGAACAGGTCTACTGTTCCCACAATTGACCTCTGCTGTTCCTATGCTGACAAAGCAAAGCTATACTTCAAAACAACATTTAAGTATTCTGTCCTCCAGCACTTTCTCTCCATCTATAGAAATTCAGTTCCTGCTTGGCTCTTCCTCTGGGTCATTTATAGTCTAGATCATACATACGAAATGACTCAATGTTCAAGAGCGTGTGTGCTGACCTTTCCGGCCTTCAGCTCTTTTTGGGCCAGCTCCACCAGACAGCGGACCTTGGCAGCGATACAGAGGTATTTGAAGAAGCGCTGGTGAGACGACCAGAACTGCCCCCACAGAGACTTCCTGCTGACCAGGCACAGCTCATCAGCTGCACGCATGAACACCTGCAATGCTTCCGCCCACTGCACACAGATTCCAGATGTTAATAGTCATAGTAATTGTTTTTTTTAACCCACACACAAGATCACAAATCTCAGGAACTAATCCTTCTCTGAGAGGCATGACGCTCACCAGTTTGGCAGCTTTGTTATAGACCAGTTTGAAGTCACTGTCCAGTCCAATCTCTTCAATGCGGAAAGACACCCCTGAGAAGCTCAGCTGCCTGGCGATGTACATCCCGCTCACTTTCATGTCCATGGCAACAATCTCCATGGCACCGACACCTCTGTATACAAACGGCATATAAATTATTTAACATAATTAAATCATGGGGTCAACCAGTCATTACCACAAACTCATTGTATGGCATTTTCAAGTAAGCACAGCAATTCAAGGATGTGTCCACATAATTGAAAGGCTTTTGGAAAAGAAGAAAGGGGAAATTATGCAACATTTCACCCTACAAACCTCTTCTCGATGGCGTGCAGGAAGTCATCAAAGATTCTGAAGGGTGTGCCCTCACCCCAGATTCCCAGGCGGCTCATGTAGATCATGTTCTTTGGCTCAGAGGCACCTGGGATGACAAAAAGATATATTTTAAAATCCTCAGTTGTATTGCATTACGTATATAAGTGTTTTTCTTTGTGTGCCAGCCTACCTGTGGCACTGGCGTACACCACTCTGGCCCGTGGCAGCTTGTTTTGCAGGTCAAGCACTGCCTTGCCCATCTTTGTAGATGTGGCATTCTTGGCTTTGTGGCATTCATCAAAAATAATCTGTAATGGGGAATGGTCAAGGGCAAACAGTGCAGACATGGAATGCCAATTTGTGTTAGAAAACTGTTGGATGTGAGATTGTTAAAATGAAAGGATACAACTCCGTCAAAGTCTGGCTTGCACCAATCTAGGATCTGTTTAATTCTCGTCCGGTGCTGCCCTCCTGCCTGGCTCTCTCCAATCAGCGCAGAGTAAGTTGCAAACAGGACTCCTTCTGAGGTAGCTGTGTCTCCATACTTGATCTACAATAAGAAAATAAACATTCAAAAGAGGAGAGTGGTATTCGTGAGCTATGTCTAAACATTTACAGAGCCACGCAGTCACCAAATACAGATGGTTTCATTTTCTGCTCAGATGCACATCCATTTAAAGCTGCCAACAACATCTTATCAGCCTGTCACGCCAATTCCACCAGGACTCACCTTGTTTAAGGCATGCACAGGAATATACGGTGCATCTATGTCTTTGAGATCTCTCTCTGCATCAAATTTCAGGTCATTGGATATGCTGAACCTGGGGGAAGGAAGAGGAAAGTCAGTAATTTAGCCAGCTTGTGCACAAACTAGCCCTTACATGCTTAGTATATCCTGGCATACAACAGGATACAAAATACAATCATATAAATAAATGATTGAGACCCGATGAAACTACAGTTGCTTTTGAGGTTTCAAATTGGTTTTATGTTTTACCAGAGTAGTAAATCTCTCTTACCATAGTGATTTCTTCCTTCCCTTAAGGTAGTTCTCCAGGATGATTCCTGCCACAGTGCGTCCCTTTCCGACCCCAGCCCCATCTCCGATCAGGAAGCCTGCCCTCTGGTTGTTTTGAAGGATAACCTCGTGTTGCTGAGGACACACAAAGAACAAACGCATGAACAAAGATGCCTGTATAATCAAAACATTAATAATTCATGGTTCCAAAATGTAGAAGTGCTGTATGTACACTATAAGTATATGAGCCCATGTGTGTACCTGGCAGGCGTAGATAATGGCCTCTAGCTGCAGAGCGGACAGCAGGCCAGTGGAAATTGTTGTCTCAGGGATAGACAGAGTGTATGTGATGTCAGGTGGAGGGACACTGGATAGCGTGTTGGTTTCCACCACTATGTCAGGATGAGAAATTCCTATAGTAGCTGAAGAGGGGAAAAAAACAAAACAGCAGTTTAAAGAAGGGAAAAATCTTGTCATATTAAGAATGAAAATAAAGATGAATTATTAAGTAATGTTGATATTCAGTCTAGTGGCCTACATTTGGAAGGTTTGTACTCAGCATATGTGTCTACATGTCCCAGCATCCTTTGCTCTTCTCTTCCTTCAGCCTCCTCTTCCTCCTCTGGTGGCGGCTGGGTTCTCGGAGCCTGGAAACACCAAAGAGACTTCAGTAATGTAATTCACATTAATAACAGACACATTTGGGAGTTATATTTCTTGTTTCAGGGTTAGATGACGATGAGCTAGGAAAGAGACTGTAGCTGAAAGTCAGATGCAGTTAAGCAGTTAGTAAAAAGTTAAAGTTAAAAACACATGTAAACCTCCTTATCAAGGAATGTTAACCAATGTTATCAGTAAAATAACAAATGAAACTGAAAGGTGCACAAAACGAGCTGAAGCAGAAGAATGACAGCTCTGAAACTTGTTGACAAAAGAGTGCTTTACATATTGAGAAACTGGAAATGCAGAAGGGTCCCATTTTGACAGACAGGTCAATATTACACTGATTCTACTGTTTCTCAATATAGACAATGCAGTATGTGTAATATTCTGGCCTTTATGCTACGTGGATTTGCAGTGTCCAATACATGCAATATGCAGTAATGTTTTCATCATCTGTGGTAATATAGACTTGCCAAAGAAAGCAAAAGCATTATCATCATATACTACTACCTTCATGTTCTGCACTGTCAAAATGTGGCCCTTAGTCTTAGATTAGTGGCATCTTACGTTGCAATGTAAAACAATGTAAGTCTTGCAAACATACAGCGCAATGACAACTGCATATTAGACAGGTAAAATAATCTGCATTTCTGTGCATAACTGAGAACTGCAAATAATTAGGCTCATCCAGTTAGAGAGCTTAGTTTCATTTTAACATCAGATTGGAGAGGTTGGTGTGGCTACCTGAAATCCTCCTAAAGGTGGGGTGCTGATAATAGCAGTTATATCATCCAAACTGGCCAAGCCCTGAAACCTGCCGGTGCCATTCAGCTGTCAACAAAACATAAAATAAAGAAATACAAACACAAATAAAAACAGTGCCAAATGCATAAGAAGAGAGAAACAAAAAACATGAGTAATCACTGTATGCGTGTATTGTGCGTATATGCATCTGCGTGAGAGCGCGTGGGCACTGGACATGGATGTCTGATGGAGCAGCACTCAACAAAATGCAATTTGTTGTCTGGCGGTGAAAAGCCAGCGACAACAACAGCAAACGGCAGATAAAGCCGTGTGTGTCTGGGAAACATAATGGATGAAATGAGGGCAGAATGAAAAGGAAAACATAAAAGGCTTTCATAGGGCAGGAGAAATAAATGTACTCTGATTCATATCAAAAAGATATCTTTGGACCCATCTAATTCAAAGAGGACTCAACAGCAACAGGAGCATGGATAGAGCAACAACACTCGACAACTTGCTCTTAGATCACCGAGTTGGAGACCATGATATACTGCAGCTAAATAAGTTTCTTTGAAGGGACAGTGCATCAAAAACAAAGATTCTTATTTTCAGTCTCTTTCATACGTATCTCTATAGCAGTAGCTAATAGAGAGATACTATTTCGCGCACCACTGAGACAAACAAAATGAACTGGTATGTAAAATATAAAACAAAAAAACAGTATTTGAAATGAAAGACTTTTTAAACATTTATGTATATACAGTGTCTATGTGCAACTTAGGAGTGGTCCGTCATGGAGCCAATGTGATCAAGGCTCCTGATGTGCTCCGGCTGCAATTTCCAAATAGCGGATTCCATTTTTTTTTTTTTTTCAGAAGGCAAAACGAAGTGTTGCCTGCGTAAAAAGTAAAGACTTATGGGTACTGTACAGTACTATGTGTCAGTCAATCATTATTTGTCTAATGGTTTAAAAGATTATTTGAGGATGCAGAGCATAAGACAGTTACGTAAAACATTCAATAACTAATCGTGGCGATTAACTGTTACTTTCCAAGAGATACTAGGCTAACTTGAGACAAATCAGCCTAAATCCATAAATCCATGGCTAACATGGTGGCTAACAAATAAAATATTATTATCTGGGTTGAAACAGAGCTGTAGTGTGGATGGTATTGGCCTTTTTGTATTTTTGTTTGTTATTGTGAGTGCTTGCTACTGACCTCTACCTGGCTCTGTGCTGGTGTGTTGGTGGTAGTAGTGTTGATGTCCCAGAGGGTGGGCACTGTGTCCAGGTTGTCTGTGCTGATGAAGGACTGGGCATCAGCATACTCCGACAGTGAGTCAGCCGGAGAGGAGAACAGAGAGTTTGTGGAGAGGTCATCAATGCAGGACAGGTCCTGAAGGCAGAAAAGGAGAGGAGGTGTTAAGTTGTGAAAGTGACATGTAGATTCCTAAATCAAAACTAATGCAACCACAGCCAGACGGAGCCTTTCCATACCCTCCCTTTACCAGCAAACTCTGTGGGAAAATAAAAGAGGATTATAAATCCTAATTATGTATCCTATATCAGACACAGCACACAGGTTGTGCAGCAGATGAATAATAAGTGTGTACCTAAGAAAAAAGGTGTAAATAGGTACGGATGGAAGTGAACTAAAGACAATAAAGGTGGCACATTCATTCTGGATTCCAGCCAATACTGCTGTCTTGTGGGAGTAACACGAGAAGCCTAAACAAAATCTAATCACACACAGATGTGTGAGAGTGGGCATGTAAAATAGAAAGAGAGGGGCAGGCATAATGAGAGTGCTTATGTGTGTGTGTGTGTGTGTGTGTGTGTCATTTCAGCCATGGCTGCCTTCCAGTCGCCCCTCTATTCATATCCTTTCCAAGCCATTAGCATGCCGTGCTCTTTAACTAGCCTCTCACAGGCACCCTTAGGCCCCCTGAGACTTATAAAAATGGATGTGGGGAGATAGGGATTGAGTGATGAGGAGGAGGAGGAGGGAGAGAACATGGTAGACAACGACAAGCTCAACAAAGGGAAAGCTTTTCTTGGAAATGGGAGTATGCATCTCTCCATTTTATTGGGTGCCGTTTGTTTGTGAGTAATGCTCAAAGTGTGTGATTGTATGCATGTATATTTATCCTCTTTGGACCATGTGTGGAAGTTCCCACACCCTCGTGTTCCTACTACACCCTCCAGAAGACCATATAGTAAACTTGAACGCTACATGCGGGTCAAACTTTTTTATTCGGTTATTTTATTATACAGTTTCTTACTTTTAATGATTAGTTCCACATTTTGGAAAATATGCTTATTCACTTAGATGATGAGATTGATACCACTCTTGTGTTTGTACTTTATTCAATCTACCGCCAGCAGCTGGCTAACTGAGCTCAGCACAAACAGTTGTTAGGCAACCAGCAGTAAAATGGGGGTTGTTTTTACATTTAGGTTTTTGTAAGGATTAAACAAATAAAATCTAATGTATTTATTAATGAGCTTCAGAAGTGCTAGTTGGTAAGTTTTGTTACCTTTGGACTGAGCCAGGCTAGCCGTTTCTGGTCATTATGCTAAGCTAAGCTATCTGGAAGCAGCTTCATACTGCACAGACATGTGACAAAGTGGTGTTGGTCCTCTCATCTAACTCTTATAACATTGTAAAATGTGAAACCGTTCCTTTAATGGGTGATATGAGAGCAGCACTGAGGTTCAGGGTTCAGGTTCAGCACTGTGACTTTTAGTTCTCAGTACCAGGATGTGTCAGAGGCCAGCTGTTTGTCACAAGACTCAGCTCT